CCCCCCCCCCCCCAAACAGTCTGTCCATGTACAATTCCACACGTATGCTCGATGAGTTTTGATATTCTAGTACATGAAATTGCCACTTTATGCATCTAAAGCTTTGAGTGATTATACAGTAGAAGGGAAGTCGATTAATAGCCTCTAGACAAATTGACGATTTGAAGAAAGGGCAACACAGATTAATCAGGAAGAAATGCATGTGCAAGTATTTTGAGTCAAAATTACTGTTCCATTAATGGAAAGCAAGAGATTAATCAGGGAAGAAAATGTATGTAAAATACATATCAAGATGCATTTGCTAGCTATTAATGGAATATATAACTCACGTAGCGGAAGATTATAAGAAAAATGAACAATCTCACAAAGATGAGATAAAACTCATGAAAATTCTTATTCAATTCAATAATATGCCCAAAAGGGCTTACAATGCTTTAAATAGTAAAACCCTAGCAAAATTCGGAAAATAAATAATAAAAATAAAAAAAACGATATTTTTCCATAAATGGAAAAATTCGAGATTTTAACTTAAATGGAAACTCCTAATATTCAGGGTCGTCCTCCAACAAACGGAATCCAAATTCGAATTTTATTGAATGAGATATTACCAAAATAAAAATTACCATAAACGGCAAAAACGCATAATCGAGAGCCTAAACGACGGAATCTGCTCGAAATCCGATGTACATCTTTGGCCATGAGTTGTGATTCTTGGCCCGTTTCCAATCAAATTAGATTATTAATTCGCCAAAAACGGACAAACCCGAAGTTATCATGAAATCATTATTTTGCATTGCGATCCCACTTCATCATAAATTATAACTCCTTATACACTTCATCAATAACACCTAAAATTACTAAAAAGAATAAGAGTGTGTACACTAAGGAAACATATGTTAGCAGCACAGATATTCAAATTTCAATTATTTGATCGGGGAAATGTTATAAGAAAAATTGCCAGCATGCAGCAGTAAATTGAATTAGCATGATATTCTGAGCCTCTATATTTACTACAAGAGCATTAGCCAAGAAAAAGAAAAACATGAAAACTGTGAGGGAATTACATACGTGCCTGTGCGCATGGTCAGGGAGGACTTAGCACTCGGTGAGGGGGGGCGGTCGCCCGTGCTGGATCCGCCGGAGTTTTCAATACTGTCGGGCGTCGGATCACTGTTACAGAGAGACGATAAGAAGAAGAAGAAGACGGGAAGAAGATTGCCATGCTAATTTCAGCGTGCAAACAGAAATGGCGCAGAGACTGCATCGGAACTGCAGTAGAATCGGCGACAGTCTGTGAAATTGCGTAGGGACAAACTCCCAAATGAAGAAGATGGATTGAAATTGGTTTGGGCATTTTTTTAACTAGTGGGCTTAAGTTGTTTTAGGAATTAGGCCCCTTTTCAAAATAACATTAGGCCCATTAGCCATTACCCAAAATCCAAAACCTCCATATATTGGTTCAGGATAATTGATTTCAATTTTCACCCAATTTCCTCTCTTTCTCTTATTCTCTTTGCACGCCGTGGACTTGCTCAATTGCTTGTGACCTGCCATCTGCTTGCCACCAACTTCCTTCGCTGGAGTTTTAGTTTGTAAGTCTATAATTTGTGGGCAAAAATTAATTTGAAACTTTGATTTCTGGTTTTTTGGTTTACGTATAATCCTTCATTCCTTCTTTCCTTCTACTAATTTTGAGCGAGCTGTTGGTATTCTAGTTGGTTGGTGTTTGATTATTATGTGATTCGGATGCTTTTGATAATTTTCCTATAATTTAGTGATTTGAAATTTAGGTTCCTGATTTTGATGATTTATAAAATATTTCTAAATTGTATCTATAGATAATTCAATATAATTTTATACTTGCATTGGCTTTATTTTCATCTTAACTTCTTTTGGGTTCTCAGAACTTTAACAAAATTACTTGTTATTTTGTTAGGGCAGTGTGATGAGTGATTGATTTATGAGGTTATGAGAGATTGATAGTTTAAAGCTAGGCGATTTTGCAACGCTTCAAAAATTAGTTTATTTTGGTCCTTTTGTTTTGGACTGAGAGAGTTTGGTATTTATATAAGTTCGGGCCTTTTTTTTTTTTTTTTTTTTAAGTTTTGCCCTTTTGTTTTGGCCTTTCTTCTCGGCTTTCCATTTTTGTTTCTGTTTCAGTTCCTTTATTTTTTTTCCATTTATGTTCTGTTTCCGCCCGTGCTGAACTTTTTTGCTGGGTCCGCCATTGCGCATGGTACCGAAACTATCCGGTTCAAGAATCTTTCTCCCTCTGGACGTCATCATTAGAGAGCATAGGCCTGGCAGAACCCGCATGATGGCAGTTAAAATGTTTGAAGACAGTCTCACGGCGCATAAAATGAGGCAACTACCATACAATTTCTTCTTCCAAACAATACAAAACAAGTAATAACTAATTTATGTTTTTGTTTTATTTTCATTATATCTTAAAACAGTCACGAAGTGAATTAGAGCATGTTGAGCTAAGCTTAAAAGAACTTATTTAGTAATAAGTAAATTTTAAAAAGTTACTTATTTTGGCAGCAATAGGGCGGAGGGCTGCCCCAAGCCCACTTATTTTTATGAAAAATTTGTCGAGTATAATTTATTTATTTGTTCCCCCCAGCAAGGCAAGAGATATAGTCAAAATAAGGAACTTTTTTACTAAGATAACAAAAGAGTAACTTATCCAAATGCAGTTGAAAAACAAAAAATTACTCAAACTACCTTTAACTTGATTAAAATATATGGTTGTCCTAAGTGTATATCACAACTTACATATTTGTTTATCAACAGATCACATGATGAGATCTGACCGAGTCAAAGTCTCACCAACCAAAAAAAAAAAACTCCCCCATTTTCTTTTTTCCACCTCAATAAAAGAATACAACAAGCATTTTTCTAAAATCTAAGCCAGACAT